AAAACCTTGTTTGTTGTTGTAAGCGTGATCTTCAATCAATAATTTCAATTTATCCATCTATATGTATGTGTCTCCGTAATACTTAGATATTAGTAATGCATATCATCACTAAATACTCTCAGCTTATATATCAGATTCTTAACAAGTTATAGTACAAATACTTTTTTAATAAATGAAAGTTTAATAGGTTGCCGGAGGGATATCAGAGCACCTAATTATGGGGAATAAGATTAAAGAATTAACTAACAGAACTTTTGGTCGTGTAGTTCCTAGAAAAATAGAGTTTTAAAAAGCTTAAACCGTTCTTATAGTTCACAGGCTACATATACCTACCCAACAAAACAACAAAAGATGTGTGGAATGATTGTAAATTTTCTTTATTGCAAAAGGTTTCCCACCTTGTAGGACGATCGTGAGGATTTTCATTCTGGTTTTGACCCTGCCCGTCTCTAACTACATAAACCTAATCGCACTATATAGACACAAGCTACCTGCCTAAAACTCTTGATATAATTACTCACATGCTTTACAACCTAAGTGTTTTAACAAAACTATAAAATCTTAATTTAAACGTTGAAGTAGTAAAACATGAATGATTGATATTGTATTTGTGTTGAAATAAAATCACCAAGTTTTTTAGTGTTTTGACATAAAGAATATGAATAATAATTTCCCAAATGCTGAAAAGCTCAGATGAAAAAAACAGCAGGACCTATTGTAATCACTAAACCAGTTTTAACCTTCACTAAACCAGTTTTAACCTTCACTAAACCGTGGATTTTCATATGTACATATAACAAAGTCTCAGTTTTTTCTTCTAGAGACTTTTAGATTCAAACAATATTTTTCAAATGTACCCCCATTTTTTATGCTAAAACGAATAGTTATGGTGGTCCAGCGCGCAGATAAAACCACCGTGCAATTCATTTTACTTTGTTTTAAACCATGGTTGGTCACCATCATGGTTGATATTCGAGATCTTCTGATTTTGTTTTGTCAAATAATATTCTGCGCAAAATAAAAGATTTATTTTCTAGTTATAAGGTAAAATATAAACTTAAATTAAAAGTATGTATCTTTGGCTAAAGTTTACCGTTATTACTGACAGTTGTTGATTATGTCGACATTGCGACATTACATGGATTGATTTATTTGTGTAAATCAGTTTTTTTCCTAGGAGCATGTGAAAAAGAGAATGAGTCGGAAATATTTCATCCATGATCAACGATTAAACACATGAAGGCCACCGTACCAACGGGAGTGTGAGGAAGGAATGAGTAATCAAGTAATCAAGCTGTTCACGTAAACTTCACTTACTTTCGGTTATATATCAAAAAGAATATAAGGTTAAATTGTGCTTGAACTGAAATAGTGGAAAAATAGACAATCAATTGGAAAGTGATACCAAAAACGCGAGAAAGTTCATATAATTAATGTATTGGTCAGTATATAAAATTTTCGAGCCTCCCAGCATGATGGTGAAACCAATGGATTGAATAAGCGGAGGTGAGAACTTACCGGCGGAGCGTTACATATAATTGGAACTAGGTGATTTTCCCGTGCTCATGCACGGGCATGTATATTTATAAAATAAATATACAATAATAACTGATTGATATTTACTTTAATTTTTAAATTAATTTATAGTTTGTATGTCTAATTTATATTATAATATTATATTACTTTAATTATATATATATAATTTTAGATATGTTATATTTAGTCTATTTTATTGTTTTTACGGTCGATTTAGTTATCATTTAGATATATTGGATTCTATATATTTCTCTGAATTCAAAAATTATCTTTTATATTTTTAAATATTAAATTTTTGATTAATTGTCTTATTTGCATTTATGCTGGTTGTTATCTTAGAAATATAAGTATATTTAGTAAGATTATATATAACTTAAGATTTTTTTGTGCTTAGAAGGAAAAAAAATAAAAACTAAAGTTTCTGATTCTAAATTAGATACATAAGTAACTAATGAATTTTTAGAAGATTTTGAACACATATCAATATTTACAATAGTTAAAATATTTTATAAATTCTAAATAAATTTATGCTTTAGATTGTTTGGATGGTAAACTGAAATTTATTTTAAATAATTTTAAAAATAAGGATTCTGATTTGCTTAAGTATTTGACTATGGTTATATTAAGTTTCACAAACATAAAAATAAAAAAATTAAAAATCAAAAGATTATTAAGAAAACAAATAATTTTAACTATTAAAATATAATACATCTACCTCGTTAAATTATATAGTGTTATGATATTTTAAAATAATTGTAGTTATTTTCTGTTTTTATGTTGTGAAACTTAATATAACCATAATCAAAATACTTAAGTAAATCAGAATCTTTATTCTTAGAACATATAATTTTAACTACTAAAATATAAATATATATCTACCTCGTTAAATTATATAGTGTTATGATATTTTAAAATAATTGTAGTTACTTGATCAAAAGATGTTTATCATTAAATTTATTTTTAGTTTTATTTTTAGTATCTCTTAAAATAGTCAGTAAAAAGTGATTGTTTTTGAGAAATTATACTATATAAGTAAAATAGAATTTATATTTTTACNAAATATATATCTACCTCGTTAAATTATATAGTGTTATGATATTTTAAAATAATTGTAGTTACTTGATCAAAAGATGTTTATCATTAAATTTATTTTTAGTTTTATTTTTAGTATCTCTTAAAATAGTCAGTAAAAAGTGATTGTTTTTGAGAAATTATACTATATAAGTAAAATAGAATTTATATTTTTACTGTAATTGAAAGATACTATAGTCAAATAAATATACTAAAAAAATAATTTCAATAATTCTAATTATAAAAAATGTCAGTTAAACATATATCAGTTTATGTTAGTTGATTATTTTATGTAATCATCTAACAAAATAGATAGATATATACAAAAATAATTATTTTGAAAATAGATATATTTTATTGTTTAAAATTATTTTTTTAAGGAAAAAATATTTCTTTTTCTAATAGCAATATTTTTTGTGTGAAATTTATTTTATGAAATCTCATTATATACAGATATTTTTTATTTATTTAAGATGATATACATATAAAGTATTTTATTACTTCAAAGGTATATTTTATGTTATTTAAATTAATTATTACTATTTTGTGAACTTTCCTTTTTTTATTAAACCATATTATATATACTTATATTTTCGTTTTTAAATAGTTTTGTAAATTTTATAAATGTTTCCTTTTTATTTTATACTGTTATTTGGAAATTTTTAAAAAGGAAATAATATTTAATTGTAGTTTTAATTCATTAGGGGTATCATAGTAATCAACCAGCATGAAAGTTAACCTAAGCGCGACACCTAAGAAAGTGACTTCTCAAATAATATTATAGAGATGGCTGTAAAACCCACTCAACTGTGTCGAATGAAATCTAAAATTGGAAATCGTCACTGAAAAATGAACAACATTTAATCATTTCGCCAGACTCGTGTATTGTTATATTTTAGAAATGTACTTATGTATTCCCTTCAAAGTTAAAACTCAAGGCAAGGGTGACATAAATCCATTGGGTTGTGACTCCGGTTTATCAAGTTTTATTATCTTTTGTATCTTTCTATATATTTTTAATATACAGTAGAACATCTATAAATTAATAATATTGAGACTTTGAAATTTTATTAATTTATAGAGATATGAATTACAAAAGTTTCTTTATTTATATTTTTATTTTAAGATCTAGTTATTCTAAGATAAGAAAAATATTCGATTTTAGTTTATATATATTAATTGTTATTTTTCAAAAAATATATTGACATTTATATTAATTTTATTATATTATTTAGTTTATATAATATATATTGCATAGAATCAAATGTGGTTTTAGATACAATATTACTAAACCTCATCAAAAATATATTAAGTGTTAAGAAAATATAAAGATAATTCATTTGTGAATATAAAATAAACAATATAATAATAAATTATTACTTATATAAAATTTGTATACATATAAATTATTATTTTATCGATTTGTGTCAAATTTTGAACCAGCTCAAACTGAGACCAGAAAGATTTATTAATTTCTAGAGATTATTAATATATTTAGTATTAACTAATAAAATTTCTACTGTATGTATTTTTAGATTAAAAACACATGGCCACACTAATGATAGGTTTTGGGGGTGAGAATAAAAGAAAAGATATACTTCAAAGAATAGTGGAAGAAAGTATATGATTTGTCTTTCAGAACAGCCAAATTATTATTATTATTTTTCTCATAACAAATTCTGCAATTTTGAAAGAAAAAATCATATACTTATGCCCCTTAAATATTCTGTCAAATGCCATTTTCTTTCTTTATTATTTTTTGTTTGGTCCATATCTGGATTCCTGAATTGAACACACCATAATATTTCCTCCCCAATTTTGTCCTTCCATTAACACACACCAAACACTAAAACATACCTTCTTTCTATGTGTGTGGCATGTCTATATATCACTACCACCTTCAAATGCTGAGAAAGTGGAATTCACACCACAGTCATAAACCTCATCAAGTAGAAATCTCCATAACCAGTTTGCGTCTACTCTTCTTCTTCTTCTTTATGTTGGATTTCCAATCTATTTCCTCTCAAAAGAAACAAACCATGAGCATTTCTACCACAAAATCTCAATATTTACCACTTAAGTTTTGTCTCATCTCTTAAGATCTTTTCATATCACACACTACTCTGTTCCGTGTTTTCCGCTTCTTGCTCACCATTGTTGCTTCTCCCATTTAAACCATTTTGGTTTCTGCCAATGGCGCACTGACTCTGCTTAAAGACGTTAACCTTTTTCTAACAATTGGTTCAGAGCAAGTTGTGCTATAAAGGTCCTAACAAACTTTCCCGTGTCATTCATCACTATATATAACTACCTTGTCAAGAAGTTAGCCTTAAACCTGCAAGAAAAAAAGCATTTCACATAAACATTTTTCTTATATCAAAACATCAAAAAAGATGTCCATCTCTTGTACCCGAAACTTCTTCGAACGATTCTGCGTTGAGGAATACAATATTCATAGCATAAAACAAAGTAGTTTCCTCTCCGCAGATCTTTTACCATCTCTTGGAGCTAGAATTAACCATTCCACAAAGCTACGTAAACACATAATCTCTCCTTTCAATCCAAAATATAGGTAATAATATTATCATCTCTAAACTATGTTTTACGTCAATTTTAAAACTAAAGCAGATTATGTTATGTTATGTTTTAATAAGAAAAAAAATGTTATGTTTTAATCCTCTGTTTTATGTTGAAATAGAGCATGGGAGATGTGGCTAGTCTTTCTAGTCATTTACTCAGCTTGGATTTGTCCCTTTGAATTTGCCTTCATCACCTACAAGAAAGACACCATTTTCATCATAGACAACATTGTTAACGGCTTCTTCGCCATTGATATTTTCCTCACCTTCTTCGTCGCTTATCTCGATAGCCACTCCTATCTTTTAGTTGACAATCCTAAGAAAATAGCAATAAGGTGAGAAAAATCAAATTTATCTTAAGTGAACCAAGTTCTTGAAATAAATCTTGAAAAAATATAACGTTTTCAGGTACCTTTCTACATGGTTCGCTTTCGATGTGTGTTCGACTGCACCATTTCAACCTTTGAGCCTCTTGTTTAACTACAATGGAAGCGAGTTAGGCTTCAGAATTCTTAGCATGCTCAGGTTATGGAGGCTGAGACGAGTTAGCTTTCTTTTTGCAAGGTTTATTTCAATGCTTAAAAGACCATATTCTTCTAATAGTTTGATTGAGAAAGTATTTATCTCATTTCTCTAACTATTTTCATTTGCTTCAGACTTGAGAAAGATATCCGTTTCAACTATTTCTGGATACGGTGCACAAAACTCATTTCGGTTAGTCTATAAACAGAGCAAAAAGTTTATTTTTGTCAGTCAAAGAGTTTTTTGTTTATAACATAACACAAATTGTATAGATTATTCTATAATAGATAAATAAATTTGCATATTCTAAATTATTTTGTGAACTAATTAGTCTTTCTTCAAATTAATAGCTACTTACACGGATAAATTATTGTAGTCCTGATGTTAATTTATAAAAAAATTAATATTATAGTCCTAATGTGTTATTACTTTATAATGTATTGTGTAGTAGCTTACTTAAATTTTTTCAATATCAGGTTACTTTGTTCGCTGTACATTGTGCTGGATGTTTTAACTACCTGATCGCAGATAGATATCCCAATCCAAGAAAGACATGGATTGGAGCTGTTTATCCAGATTTCAAGGAAACAAGTCTCTGGAATAGATATGTGACTGCTCTTTACTGGTCTATTACGACGTTAACGACCACTGGATATGGAGATTTGCATCCTGAGAATCCAAGAGAAATGCTCTTTGACATTTTCTTCATGATGTTCAACCTCGGCTTGACGGCTTACCTGATTGGGAATATGACTAACCTTGTTGTTCACTGGACTAGCCGAACCAGAAGCTTTGTAAGTTTGATCTCATTATTTTGATCAACGCATATTCATTTCATGAAAAAGTTGGGCAATGGATATAAAAATCAGAAATCAAAAAAATTTTAAAAAGAAATAAAAAACAAAAGTTTTCATATCAAACCAAGAATTATAAACAAAATCAAATTGGTTGAAGAAAATCAGAAATCAAAAAAGCTTTAAAAATAAATAAAAATCACAAAATCAATTAAAAACAGAATTCAGGTATTAAGTGAAGATGTCACTTTGTAATATATATTATTTTTTTTTGGTACAATTTGTTTTTTTCATATGAAAAAATATTATTAATTTCTAGGTTTGTTTATTTTTACTTAATTTTATTTAAGAATTTACTATCATGTGTTATTTTGAACAAAAATGTTTTAAATCTTGATTAACAATATATTCATATCTTTATCATCACATTTATATACTTTTAGATATACATATATATACACATTGACATGAGTGACTATATAACTAAATATTCACCATAAGTGAGAATTTTAATTCATATTAAATTGATTTGTTTTTAATGTTTTCTTTCACTATCGCTCAAACTGTAGTGAAATATTTTGTGTTAATAATTTTATTTTATTTTTTCTTCAAATATTATTTAGATTTTATTTGATTTTACATATCTTTTGAAATTACAATAGGAAACTATTAGTTCGACTTCAAAAATATCTAAAATTTATATAAAACGAAACCAAGCAAATAACGATAGTTTTTGGTTATAGATTTAAACCAAACAAACCAAAATAAATATAGATTTATAATGATAGTTATATTTTAGGATATTAGAAAAATAACTTAAAACTGAACCAATATCCATGCTAAATAAACATAATATCACTTTTAAAAGTAACAAAAATAATAATCTCATTCCCCGCAAGGCGCGGATTATTACCTAGTGGTCAATTATTTGACTTAAACTATGATCATTTTCAGTATTAATCTGTTTAAACTATACAAATACTTTTTTTTATCTGTTCAACAGAGAGATACAGTGAGAGCTGCTTCAGAGTTCGCTTCAAGAAACCAACTCCCACATGACATACAAGACCAAATGTTATCACATATTTGCTTGAAGTTCAAAACAGAGGGCTTGAAACAACAAGAAACTTTGAACAGTTTGCCAAAAGCAATCCGGTCAAGCATTGCAAACTATCTCTTCTTCCCCATTGTTCAAAATATTTACCTCTTTCAAGGAGTTTCTCGTGACTTCCTCTTTCAATTGGTAATATTATATTCTCTTATTTTTCATTTCAGTTTAGTCATTGTAACTACTAACTCCTATAAGGTTTCATGAAGTTATATTTTTTTATTCAAGGTTTCAGATATAGATGCTGAGTATTTCCCACCTAAGGAAGATATAATCCTACAAAACGAAGCACCTACGGATCTTTACATCCTAGTCTCAGGATCAGTGGTAAGCATATTACATCGATTATCATAAAAAAATGTTATCAAAGGCATAAGAATATCGATAATTAATTGCCTTCTATCATTTTGTAATTGTTGCAGGATTTCACAGCCTATGTTGATGGACAAGATCAGGTTCAAGGCAAAGCAGTTATTGGAGATATGTTTGGAGAGGTTGGTGTTTTATGCTATAAACCTCAACCTTTTACGATAAAAACAACCGAGTTATCTCAAATACTACGAATAAGTAGAACATCGCTGATGAGTGCAATGCACACTCATCCTGAAGATGGACGAGTTATAATGAACAATCTTTTCAAGGTATGTGAGCTAAAACCATATTCTTGAATATATATTATGTTTATGTATAATAGTTAAAAAAAAATTCAAATTCGTGTTTTGTTACAAAACTTGCAGAAACTTAGAGGACAACAATCAATAGCAATAGATGATACAAACAATGATCAACAAAACATAAATTTCCAACTAATGGGATGGGAAGAGTGGATGGATTCAAGAAAATATGCTAATGGTTCAGATGTTACTGAATCGACATCCGGTAAGGATTCAGATCAACATTGCAGCCCCAGCATCAAAGTCAATCCATGTAAAGGAAAAGAGAAGAGAGTTACTATTCACATGTTGTCACAAGAGAAAGATCTATCACCGGGACATAAAGGAAAGTTGATACTCTTACCTAAATCCATAGAAGAGCTTCTAAGTGTAGCAGGTACGCTCTGAAAATACTCAAACTATTAGGACAAAATTGAATTTTTTTTGGAATTATGTAGGTGAAAAGTTTGGGGGATGCAGCTTTACAAAGATCACCAATGCAGAGAACACTGAGATTGATGATTTAGATGTTATTTGGGATGGTGATCATTTGTTTTTCTCATCAAATTGAGTTTGAAGGTAGTAACTGAGACTAGCCTTCCTACGTAACATCAATGTATATCTGCGGCGGTGTATGTTTCATAAAACAATTAGATTATCAAGAATATAGTCAGCCCACATGTACCAAGTCTTGACAACCCTAACGCTCTCAGGCACGGGGCTCGAGGTACTTTGTGATACAATGCTCTCCGGCGCCGGTGACGCGTGTTCTCGCCGGCGCTGGCCACTCCCGACGATGTCATCCTCTGCATTCATCTCTCTGCTCGTTTCGCGTTTCAGTTCTCGTGTGCTATGGAGTCGTAGCGTTCTGTTAAGCGGAGAAAGGGGTCTCCGACGGAGACATGAGCTTCGGTTCCTTGCCTTCACGGTAGTCCTCCTTACGGCCCTTCCTCCTTGGTGGGTCTTCTCCCCAACGATGAGTCGAGAGGGTTCTCTCACCACGTTTGTACTCTGGTTCAAGGGAGCGTTTCCCGGCGAACCACCTTCTGGCTGTCAATGGACAAGACACACTGTTAACCTTGTCCGTGCTCTTCAACTGCTGATGGAGTTCAGATCTCAACGTTCAAGCTTCCGCTTTCCACCTCCGGGAAGTGAGACAACAAAACAACCTTGCGGTGCTTTTCATTTATACGACGCCAGATCCCAAGACATCTCAAGCCTAAATCCGAATCTAATCGGTAGCTATTCACTTTCCTCGCCTCTAAGCTTTGATGGTAACCGGGATTACTCTGGTGAACCCATCTCTCAGCCGGCAAGTGACGTCATCCGCGCCACCTTCATCCTTCAATCTAGATCCACGACGTCTCTTACCTTCCCAGCGTGGGCTTTGGTTTCTGGACCGAGATCTATATCTATGTGGGCCTGGCCCAACTACTTTGCTGAAGTTTCTTATGCAGTTATCAAGTTTCAAAACCCTAGACTATCAAACCATTGCGTTAGATTAGCTGTGGGTCTGATTTCTTTGGATAATTTAAAAATCTCCTATGGGTTCATTGGAGTCTATAATCTGAGTTTATTGCAATATCACTTCTTTGGGAAGAATTTTTCGTTGGGTCCGACGATTATGATATGGTTTTCATCATCCTCCTTCAATAAGGAGAGGTCTTCATTACCATACCTTCCTTCTATGAACGGAGATGTCCTCTCGGGTTTTATTCCGAGCTTTTGTTTCAACTTACTCACCGGTTTGTCACCTTGTGTAGCGGTCTGTACGGGGCCAGAAGGTACAATCGAGATTACTTCGGTTCTTCTCGCTGGTGAGGGTTGTCCCTCAACGTCACTTGTGACTATTTCTCAGCTGTCCGACTTTGTCGTGAAGGCTCTCCGGACGCATTCAATCTCTGTCTTGAATCTGCTGTCATCTTCATATGAAGATTTATCTTGTCTAATGTCATTTCTCTTTGTAGTTTATGACTTGTTTCCAAGAGGATGCTTAATTCCCTCTGCTCATTGTAGTTCTTGAAGTTATGTTTAATGGAAGTTGTGTTTCAAAAAATATCAAGAATATAGTCTACGAAACTAATAATGATTGACACAAAAAAAAACACTGTTAAAAGTTTATGGAATATATGATATACAGTTTAATAACAGCAAACTTGAAAAAAAAAAGAAAAAAAAGAAAGTAATGCAATGAATAAATTTCTTAGGATAAATCTTTGTTGTTTGTTGTTCTTTTCTCAGACGATTGCACGTTAATTTACATAGTATAACACCTATAAGATTACAATACAGTTTGGAAACTGGAAAAAATCAATGAAGAAATACTATTCTTAATTTTTTTTGGTCAGTAGGAAAATTGTTGCAACTTGCAAATACACGAAAATTCTATATTTCTTTTTTGGATTAACTTAAAACATTTTAAAAGTAAACGAGTTAATTGCAAGCAATCGATAAAATATGATACTAATGCTGTGAACAAAAAAAAAGAGACATAGCACATTGGTAACCTGGAAACAAAGCTAGTGTAATGGTTCTGGTTTATGAATACTATAGCAAATTGAGTGAAACGATTTGGCTTCTTTATTTTACCAAAAAAAAAAAACGATTTGGCTTCGGATTGTTTCTTGAGAATGTATGTCAAATCAAAGCTTGGGACTCCAATTCATGTTGTACCACTGCTAACCACGCTCTTTTCACTAATCATTTCATGTTTTGTGTATGTAATCTTAGATGCATGTATAATTGCAAGTAGATAAAATAGTATAGTAATTATTTATTTGAAAGCAGAATGCAAGCAAATAGAAGAACAAAACTGGCCTAGGTTTGATGTACTACTCTTTCACGTTTGCATGCATTTTTATATTCCAAACATGCTATAAATTCTTTTCCGGGGTAAAACAACATGCTATAAACTTGTGAGAACTCATTTGATTTTCCGTAACTCAGAACTTTTTTTGGCCAATTTCGACCCAAAAAGAACCGTTTTTAGGCCACCAAACTAATTAATACTTCTGATATACGTACATATTAGGTTAGGCTGTCTTATTAGATTTTGGTCACGGACCTTCACCCAGCATGGCAGCATCGATACAATTATGTACAGGGAAACAACATTGCAAGTGAAAAGTCATTATCCCAAAACCTAATGTATACACAAGACAAAAGTAATTAGTTCTAATATTGCAAGATGTTATATTAATCTCACGTTAGACACGAGGTTGCTATATATTTCTATTTTTAATGAAAATATATATGTATATATATATATATATTAAATATATGTAGTACTGAATGCTGTTTTGTGTTGAATATATTTTTCTTTAAAAAATTGATAGTAAAATAAGTATTTAAGTATTTGAGGGTTTGTTTGTTTCATGTAGATTTTCTATTATTCATGTACATAATATTTAAAATTTGAAAATAATTATTATATATAAAATTAATGGATTTTTAGACATGAAAATTGATATTTTAATAGCTATGAAATGGTAAAAATAATTTCATATTGATTTTATATATTATTTTTGTATTAATATATATATATAATTAATTTCTGATAAAATAAATGAATTATTTACTTTTAGTGAATATTTTGTTAAAATATATTGTCATTTAAAATAATTCATTAATGCTGACCATACAAAAATAATAAATTATATATTTTTAAAGAAGATTTTGTTAAAATATAAAAGATGAGGAATGATATTAATGCATAAAGTAAGGATTAGTTAGTTTCGAGTGACATTGATCATGGTTAAAATTTTTACTAATCTATTTTTATCATAATACTAACACAAATTAATACATAATGATTTGATATTTTTTATTATATATATTTCCAAATTATATATATATATATATATATATATATATATATATATATATTTGATATGTTCAAAAAAATATTAACAACGATTTCTATATAACTATAGTTATGAAATTATGATTTCAAATTAAATAAGTTTGATTTTAGGAAAGATATATATTTGTGCAATCTATCAAATTAATTAAGTTTGATTTTAAGAAATATACTAGATTTTGACCCGCGCAACCGCGCGGATGTTTGTTTTCGTTTATAGTTAATTATATAAACATTTTGTTTTCACTTGTAAATTGGTATATATTATAGTAATCACATATTTACGATATGTATAGTAAATATTTTCAAACATAATAATATTATATAATATGTGTTTTAATCAAATAGTTTGTTTCTAATTTTCTATATTACACATGTTTTCAAACATGTGTTTGTTTTTTCTTCTACATTTTATTGTTTGTTAGATTAATATTTCATTTTTAGATAAAGTAATATAAATAGAGTTTGATTAAATATTAGTATACTTTATTTTGCAAAGATAATATAAACTTCAAATAAATTTTTGTTAAAAACTAAACTTATAGCCTCATAAATTAATATTATAAAAAATTTTATTAAAAAGAAATTTTGTAAACAATTTATTATTTTTTTTAAAATATAATTTTAAAATTTTACATCGAAATAAATTTATCTAGTATATATAGCGTGTAAATTTTTTTAGGGTATAGAAATATTCCATATTACGAATCTATGATTTTGTTAATATATTGTAGATGCATTTAACTATTATTGACATATTTCCTTATAAATAATAGTAGATTCCTAAACTTATATCTATTAACATATTTTGTGTGACTAAGTTGGAAAGTGTGGGGTAATTTACCAAAACCAAATTGTTAAATATATCTTTGTTATTATAGATATGATTTTTCATAAGATATAATAATGATAAGATTATTAGAAAATTAGTGTAACATGACTTTCTAGTAATAGTCCATTTTTAAAAAAAATCACACATGAAATCAAGTCATGACTTCTGTTTTAATATATAAGATGTTTTAACTTAATTTTAAATACAGTATAAAATTCTGCAAATAAAAGAAAATATCAAAAATTTATCATTTAATTTATTTCTAATGTAGTTATTAAATCTATAAATAAAAAGAAATATCAAAAAATGTCAAAAAAAGAAGGAAATATCACAAAGTATCTTTAGTTTTAGTAATATAGATTCCACGAACACGAAGTGCATGCGTCCCACCTACGCAGTACGCACATCTGTTGCTTAACCTACTCATCTTCTCATCTCTTATTCCTATTATACCCTCACATGCGCTCTCTACTCCATCTTCTACAAGCCCAATCTAGTAACTTCATACATCCAAAAATAGTCTCACAAACTTAAAACCTATATAAAACACACATCAAAGATCCCCATATTCACAAACCCTCATCTCATCAAATCAAATCAAAAACCAAATGTCGTCTCAAGAAACCATATCAAAACAAAGAGAAGGAGCTGAGATCTTCAACGGAGGATCAACCTGCAAGCAAAAAGCAAACGAGATCTTATCGACCATGAATCTTCCCAAAGGACTTCTCCCTTTGGACAACATGACAGAGATCGGTCACAACAAAACAACCGGTTACATCTGGATCAAGATTAACAAGAGCGTTCAGCATCGGTTCAAGGCGATCGGTAGAAACGTGTCGTATGACTCGGAGGTCACTGCGTTCGTTGAGAATCGTCGGATGCGTGGTCTTACGGGGATCAAGAGCAAAGAGCTTTTGCTTTGGGTTACCATCTCTGAGATCTTTGTTAATGATCAAGACCAAACTAAGATTACTTTTGCTAATCCGACGGGACTGTCACGTACGTTCCCTGTCACTGCTTTTGAGGATGAAGAGAAGTGATTTGTCAACGGTCTTGAACTCTGCTTTGATTAGCCATGTGTTTGTTCCTTCTCTTTGCTTAGCTATATGTATTGTTTATCTGCGTCTTTCCAGTTATAATAATGATAAAATGCTTTTTTAATATAGTTCTTATTGTTCTAAAATCTTGTAGAAATTTAATTGCTTCTCAATATAGTTCTTATTGTTCTATACTTATAGGATTATAACGATCACATTATTAGACCATAGACAATTTCATAGCTTCATCGATACCATACGACTTGAAATATCCATCAAATTGAACATTGGATGCATACAAAATCAAAATGAAATATATAACTTCTGTGGTCAATAAAGTATTGAACCTTATTCTTACAAAAAGGTATAGAATATTTTTCATTTTTTCTCGCCTCATATATACTCAATCATAGATATTCCTCTTAGTATAAAACTCAAGACACCAATAACAAATATAAATATTTCAAAACCAAGTAGTGAAGAATCTTTAACATCCATCACATTCTCTATGATCTCGTTAGGTTCTAAAAACTTTCAATAGTTTCATTTCATTGAGGATTTCATTCCATTGATAATTCCATGCATGCAGCATGCTCGTCCATGTCTTTCAACATCAACACAACGTATCACTCCATTAGAAAATCCAAGCTGAACCAAAAACACACCAGGGATATTATTTTATTCTGTGTTGATTATGAAACTGAAAACAATAATTAAGAAATATATTTAAGGGCAAATCTTTCAAAAGAAATCAAAATATTTTTTTCTTGACAAAATGGCATACAAGAAAGAAAATGATCAAATGTTTCATTAAAATAAGTAAAGATATTTTTACCTAATTAATATATAAAATATTTTAAAAATAGTTAATTAAATAATAAGAAAAATCTTTTTAATTTTTTCAATTTTTCAAAATCTTATTTTGATCATTTTCACTTCCATTTTTTCAATTTTATTTTGAAATCCAAAAATTATATTTGAAACTATTTTTAAAATTATTGTTTCTGATTTTTAATTTTTTTAAAATAAACCACAACCCAAAATCACACCTTTCAAATGTAAATCCGAAATTTAGATTAGTTAATCCAATAGCAATGTTTTTTATTACTTTTTAATGAAACATTGTAATCATTTTGACACTAGTGTAATATAATTTTTAGTGCTATATCTTTAAAAAAATGCCCTATATTGTAAGCATATTATATGTAACAAAAAAACTATCACCTTGTGTAATTTTTATTTACAAAAAATGGTGCATTGTGTAAACACAACACCTTGATTATGTTGATACAATAGACATAGAAATAAGATATCAGTTTCAACAAAACTTACTTATTGGTGTCTAAGTTATATAATAACTCTGAATAATCAACTCTTGATATTAACTGTACTAATATGTTTACGTTTATAATCTCATATTTAACATATTAACTGGTACAAGTCCAAATCGAAAATTTATTTTATTTTCTCATTTTTTCAAGTTCGAAAAAACTACAAATGTAGAATCTTCTTTTGTCAGAAACAATAGCATAAACCAATGTTGAAAAAATTATAAATTAATAATTTTATTTTTTACATTAGAATCAAAAAATATTTATATCCATTTTGTTCTTTATAGTTTCGCGAACTTAAAAAAAAAAAAAGACGCTAAAATTGTGAATTTGTGTAGGTCTGAAAGAGAGAGAGAACAAAAGCTTTTTTTTTTTTTGTTTTTTTTTTGGGATTGAAAGGGTTTCAAGGCTTAAATTGGGACAAGCCTTCGTCTTCTTCTTCTCCCTTTCCCTTGATTCCCACCTCTCTCCCTCTCTCTCTCCTTCTTTCATGTCTCTTCCACACAAACGCTCTACTTGCCCACCAGCCGCTGCCGACTCTTCTTACTCCTCCCCTCCCATGAAGAAATCCAAAAACGGCCTCCACGACAAGGTTCCCTTCCCCATGGAGGAGGAAGATCCAACTCCCTCCGCCCCCGCCGCTAATCTCTCTCGGAAGAAGGCTACACTCCCGCAACCTACTAAGAAGCTCGTCATCAAGCTCAATAAAGGTTGATTTGTTGATCGCAATCGGATTGTTTCATCGATTTAATCTTAGGATTATGTTTGGATGAGTGTGTGAAAATCGGATTCTCGAACGATTGATGGGAAATGACTCGAACGATTGATTGTGTAGGGTTAGGCTTAGGCTTAGGCTTAGGGTTCTTAATTTTAGGGTTTTTCTAATTGCAATTGAAATTAAAGTGTAGTTCTCTGTTGATTGTTTGATTTTGATGAGTAGTTAGGGTTTAGGGATCTCTATGTTTAGCCGATCTGAGAAACTTCGTTATGCATAATAATCTCTTGATTGTTGAGATGCGTTCTTGTTTAGCAATAAACCATTTGAAAGTTTCTGATTTTGTAATGTTTGTATATATGTGTGTGTGATTGATTGTTTAGGCTTCTCAATTTTAGGGTTTTTGTAGTTGCAATTGAATTATACTGTATTTCTCTGTTAAATCAAGCTTGGTTGTTGATTTTGATGAGTAGTTAGGGTTTTTTTGAATCTCTTTGTCTAACCGATATGAGAAACTTTGTTATGCATAATCTATCAAGAAGCTTGATTCTTGTTTAGCATTTGTGATGACGTGGATAAAATCATTTGAAAGGTTCTGATTTTGTAATGTATATGTATGTGTGAAGCCAAACCAACTCTACCAACGAACTTTGAAGATACTACCTGGGAGAATCTGCAGTCAGCTATCAGAGCTATTTTCCTTAAACAGCCCTTTTCTTTCGACCTCGAGAGGCTTTACCAGGTACACAATCTTTCTTTCTTTCTTTCTTTCTTTGGTTCTTTTCTTCTTGTTACTGATGTATGTTTTGCTGCCAGGCTGTTGATAACCTTTGCTTGCATAAGCTGGAAGGGAAGCTTTATGAACGGATTCAGAAGGAGTGTGAAGAGCACATCTCTGCGGCTTTACATTCTTTAGTTGGGCAAGACACTGATCTGTCTGTTTTCTTGTCGTTAGTTGAGAAATGTTGGCAAGATTTCTGTGACCAGATGCTTATGATCCGGAGTATAGCCTTGTCTTTGGATAGGAAGTATGTTATACAGAACCCAAATGTACGTTCGTTGTGGGAGATGGGTTTGCAGCTTTTCCGGAAGCATCTTTCTTTGTCCCCTGAAGTTGAGCAGAGGACTGTTACTGCTCTGTTAAGAATGATTGAAAAGGAAAGGTAATCTTGTAACAAGTCCAATCTTTTGATACTATGTGAAGCAAGGTTTACCTGTCACAGATGTACCTTGTTTGTCTTGCTTCTG